TGGATTATACTTGACAAACCTTTTATATTGAATATTGAAATGCTAAGCCCTGTGATTTCCGATTTGAATATTATTTTAAGTATATTTATATAATATATTAATGTTTATAAAAGGAATTTATTTTTCAAAAACTATTTATATTTTATATGCAATTCAAAAGTTAAAACTTTCGCTATGAAAACAATTTCGAAATTGTTCAAAGACCTGGATGCAATATAAGATGTCCATATTTTTGTTTTTGAGATTTTGTCTACAATCACAGATTTTATCATATATTTTAGTATTAATCTTTTTCTATGAATTAATGCAAAAATAGTGAAAGAGTTGGAGAGAGAGAGAATAAATTGTAAGCTTTTATCGTACAGTTTATGATTTTCTACGAGCACTTGAATAATAACTTTTATTTATATGACATGTGATATACTGCTATATATTTTTGTATCAATACTATATGAAGCAAGATAATATGAATAATACATTTGTCAAATCTTCATTAAATACGTGGTTGCAAACGCATCTTGCGACTACTCAAATATAATGTATGTATTTTCTATTAATAAGTTTTGAACCCTTTAGTATTAACTAATCTACATATAAGTGAAAATAGTTATAATGTAGTGTACAGTATATTTGAGTGGTCGCAACATGCGTATGCTATCATGTATTTAATGAAGATTTTACAAATGTATTAATCATATTATCTTGCCTCATATATTGCACTCAATTCTGCTCATAAAATAACACAATGTATGTCTGACTAATGATTGGTGATCCGGAATATTCTCGTCTATTATCAATAAGCTAAAAGTGTTTAATATAGAAAAGTAACCCGGAAAGTTTTAATAATCATAAATGTCATATTAGTCTTTGATTTGTGAGTTGTATTTCTATACGCTATGTTTATTGTGATCTCGAGTATTTTTATCTGAATTTTTATGTTTTTACAATTCATTTACTAATTAATTGTTATTTTATTTTGTCGAGTACATTAATAAAAATAATTATACAGGTATTTTATAATCAAAAGCATATTATAATGTAAAACAAATTTTCAACAATAATTAATATTTTTATGTATCATTAATATCAGTAATTAATATCAATTAAATATTTAGTACAATAATTTTCTTAAATCTAATAAATGACAAAAGGAAACTTTAGGGTTAATTAATAAATGTTTTCAGGGTAAATGTAAAAATAATTTCATAGCCAATACTTTTGGTTTAGAAAATAGCTACAAATCTTACAATACTACTATTTTTGGTCCACTTTTATTTATTGGCAAAACAAACTATACTTTTATTTCTGGTTTTTCACAAAAAAATCGATAATTTTTGAGTAAAATATCGTTTCATAAAAGAAATTATAGACAAATTGTATAAAAGTATATACTTTTCAAAACACACAGAAATGTTTGGCTCAATTTTGTTTTTAGCAAACATTTTTGCTATTCTGTTGTTATTTTGTTATTTATTTGATTTCTATATATATTTGTCTTAAAATGCTTTTCAACTATTCTATCATTTTATTTACAACTACTTTTCCATTTGGGTTTTAATGTCTTAAACGTTGTTATTTTGCTTTTGAAATTCCGCACAGAATTGCAGTTATACTGCATTTTATGTCTCAAAGTATGCTTTATATGAAAGAATTTCTAAACCCATTATTGAAAAAACCTTTGCTCTCTCTCTCTCTCTCTCTCTCTCTCTCTCTCTCCAACTCTTTCACTATTTTGCATTAATTCATAGAAAAAGATTAATACTAAAATATATGATAAAATCTGTGATTGTAGACAAAATCTCAAAAACAAAAATATAGACATCTTATATTGCATCCAGGTCTTTGAACAATTTTGAAATTGTTTTCATAGCGAAAGTTGATTGAAAACTTAACGTATATTTTATATTTATCAAAAACTTTTTATTTAAGGAAAATATTTGTAATTATATAATATATTTATATGAATTTTATTATAAGTTTAGCCTTTAGTGTCCCGAATCGTAAAGAAAATTATTGAAGTGAATGCTAATAAATAACGAGTTTTATGAAATGAGATGGATTACTTTTTTCATAACAATCGCTTAAAGTATTAAGTGTGGTATTTTAATGCATTAAATCATATTTACATAAAACTCAAACTTTAATGACATTTAAATGTGAGAAAAATGATTTTACTTCAAAAATTGTATCTCTCTCTCGCTCTCTCTCTCTCACTCACTCACTCACTCACTCACTCTCTCTCTCTCATAAAATAAGAAAATATTTATTTTTACTGAAAAAATGTAATCTATAAATGTGTATATAGGTAGTAGTTTTATAAATATAAATATTCAGGCATATCATATAAATATTTTAGTTAAGATATGAAAATAAAATTAATCAAATTTAAAATATTTATATAATACTAGTAACAGAATTGATTTAGGCAAAATATTTGGATAATAAATAAATACTGTACAATTATCCAGGCATTGAATTTATTTTTTTGCATTTATTTTATTTTTTGATTTTTAAACATTATTAAATTTTGTTTTTATATTAAAATTAAATATTCATTCTAATAATAGTGAATAGCATAATACACTATATTAAAAATATGAAAATAAAAATATAACTTATAAATATATTTTATAATATTCAAAATATTTTTTGCCCAATTAATTATTTTATTTGAATTTCAATTTAAAACTCAAGCAAAATGTTTTTTGTATTATATTCTGTACATAAATATAATAACATTCAGTCTATTATTCCGTCAAATATTATTATTATATTAGTATAGAATTTTTCATACAAATTATGAGCACATTGAGTGGTATATTAGATAATATTAGGGGTACCCAAAAAATATATTATTACTATAAACTTAACAGGTTATTAGTGTTTATAAATATAACATTCCTATTAATTCAGTTTTAAATTAATTTTAAAATAAAAAATTTGTATGTTTTTAAAATGCTATTTTAACTTTTTAAAAATTAAATAAAATATCATACTATAAATATATTAAATGCTAGAATTATTTTTTATGACCGTTTTTATGGGTTCCCCTTATATGACAAGGGGTATGCCTATCATTTACAAGCACTGAATGGGTGTCCCATCAGTTTATTATGAAGTAATTATTCGCATCACTTATTTATGTCACAAATTTTTATTTCGTTGGCTTTAAAGTTGAAATCTATGACAGTCTGACAATAGGGGAAAGGGATGCCAGTGCTTGAAACACACATTATAAGATCATATCTGACATTACAAAACGGAATAAAGGTTTCAACAACATTTATCTTACATATTAATTATTGCTTTAAAACATGTTTTTAAATTATCATTCAGTTTGAATGGATTCATACAGTATGTACTGTATTATAATTCATAACACTATTGAACCTAGTTAAAGACCAATCATTACTGTATAATATAATAACTGATAACAATTGTTGAAATCATTATTCCGTGTTGCCTAATCATATTTATTATAATATAATATATCCAGTTTAATCAAACTTCAATATAAATTTGATATTCACAAGTATTTTGAGTTTTGAATTTAATGTATATTATAATAATATTTCGATGCAAACCCAAACTCATTGCTCATCCCTTATACAACTCATACACAATTTGAATGATAGATAGAGTGCTTAATAATAATCACAGAATAATTGGAAGAATAATATAACAAACAATTGTTCACTTAATGATCACAATACATATTATACTCTATAATTCAGTGTTTAGTATATATATATATATATAGGGGTGGAGATAGTTTTGGCACTCAATCTGTTTTGACATATTAAACGGTTTGTCTGTTTTTGTAAAGAATATTCTACATAATTCTTGCATAATTTTCATTGCAACAATAAGCACATTTATTGTGTGTTATGTATTTGAGTTTAAAAGTTCATTACAAATATTACTGTTAATCTAATCGTTTGATATTTAAAGTATTTATCATATAAATCTCTCTCTCTCTCTCTCTCTCTCTCTCTCTCTCTCTCGCACTCACTCACTTTCTAACTGTTTAACAAGTTTTGTATTAAAAGTTAATTACTTTTGCTGTGAAGTCAACACAGAATCTGAAGTGTGTTTAAAATTTTTGTGTCACTTTTACGACTTCTATTGTATGTGTTTTAACACTAAAATTGCATTTTATGCATAATATTTGTCGTCGATTTTTAACGTAAACTATATTATATTTGCTTTTAGTTTTTGTGTACTATTTGTCTTTCAAACCTTACTTAATATTTATATTTTAAGTTGTGTTTTAAATTTCACATTTCAATTACGGACTGATAGACAGCCAGCCAGTCGTGTGTCAGAAGTGTCCACAATATTCTGTGTGTAAACAATAGGCTTTCCATTTCATGTTACGATAAAACAATATATTTGTTTTTATAAACACACAGAATATTCTGGATTATACTTGACAAACCTTTTATATTGAATATTGTTCAGAATATATAGAGTTTTAAATTCTAAGTATGGTAGTATTGATTTAATATTATATTCCCTTAATATCTCTCTCTCTCTCTCTCTCTCTCTCTCTCTCTCTCTCTTGTGGTCAATGCAAACATTGCGTCTCAAAAATACATGACATTTAAGTTTTAAGTGAATTATATTTGTCATTCATTTAAGTCTCGACAGAAATATCTTGTTTACATTTATGTTCAGTTGTTTTGCTGTCATATTCTGTGAGACAAACAGTTTTTTTCTGTCAAATCATCACAATTTTTAATACATTTATAAAATACACGCAATTCCTGTGCCACCGACTCCCAGGGGGTGGTTATGCGCTTGATTTGGCTCTATATGTCATTTTGAAAACATATTTTACATTTTTTAAATCTAATTTAACACGTGCAGTTGACAGTTAATAAGGTAGCACCAAGTACGTAAATTATAAATTTTAAAATCTCAAAATAAATATATTTTTATTTTCATTGTAATAAATTATTTCTAATAAGATTATAATATTTCTCTCCCCTGTCCTCCAGTTCCCATATATATTGAATGGCGAAAAACGTACCAAACGTGGGGATCGGTCGTGGTCTGGGCATCGGGATCGGTACGTTCGGCATAAACGACACACACGTCCCGCACGTCCCCGTCTGTCATCCATCCCAGTCGACAGAAGTGATTATATTGGCGTCTATTGCGGGGGTCGGGTGTCTCACAAATGTATTGCTCATGTTATTAGTGATCATTAGGAAGCCTTTCAAGAGATATCATAGAAGGTTAGCTAATGTTACCTATTATTAAGACACACAAACATACAACCAGTACATACCATATGTATGTTTTTGATAAAGTATCATATAACAATCCTAATGAACATTGTTGTGTACGTATTGATTGAATGTCTCATAAATTTAATTTACTTTAAGTTACAAAGCTAATAACTATTGTATAAAACTTTTATTGTTATAACTTTAAAATGTTATAATAAGTTAATCTCTCTCTCTCTCTCTCTCTCTCTCTCTCTCTCTCTCTCACACACACACACACACACACACGTATACTGTAATAGCATTAATAGAAATTGGCTTTAATTTAATTGCATTGAGTTTTCAAATACTATTGTAAGACTTTATCTCTTAACTGATTCACTATTATCCCTCTCCTATGCTATACTACTGTAATATGACTACTTGCAACAGTACTGTACATACAAGCCTGGCCCTCCACTTCCCCTATCATTTAAACTCATACACAACCCCTGAGAGACCCGAGAGTTATGTGAATTTGTACGACAAATAACACATGACATGAAGTAATATAAATGAATTCTTAAATGTTATTACAGTTTAATATAAATGTGTTGTTTTTAGTGCTACTAATACTGTGAGAAAGCACTTAAAAATAGGTGCGGGGAATGGCATGTCTGTTTGGCAGGAATGGTATGTGAGTTCAGGGCATATTCTGATAGTACTGTACAAGTGCTTTACCGTTAAAAACATTGTACTGTATTTGAAATTACTTATGAAATTGAGCCATAAGTTAAGGAATAACTCTCTCTCTCTCTCTCTCTCTCTCTCTCTCTCTCCTGGTTTTTATATACAATTCATATATTTTTTGCTTTAATTCCACTTAACTCTTAATGGGATTTATTTTCTTTCGCATTAAATATTAAATTTATTTATCGATTCAATACATGCGGTACTTATCATAATATTTCTCCCCTTAACCCGTATTTACTCGAAATTTATTTGCACTTAAATATTAAATACTAAACATTTGTAAGACATATTCACCATTAAGTATATAATTTCATTAATAAGTGAATAACAATAAATATTTTAAATTGTATTTTTTAAAATCAATTTTTATTACTTATTAAATTTTCTATATTAGCATGGTTTTAATAAATAAACAAATATTATTTATTATTTATATATACTTTATCTATCAGTAATTATTTTATTAGTGTTTAATTAACTATAATATTGAGTAGTTATCAAGGATCGCTTTATGTTAGGAAAAATTGGTAGCATTTGCCAATGGCTTTACCTGTGCTTGCTCAAAATAATATGAATAATAAAAGTAAAATTCAACCATGATGCAAATCCAGTATTGGATTTATGTAATCAGAAATAACTTATTCAAGAAAATCCCACATATTTATAAATACAATATTTATTGGACACTAGATCACCATTTGTTGGGATTAACTACCAGTGCTTAACATCATACTTTTGGCATTTGTGCACACATGCTGTATATTTAGTGCATTTATATGCTATTCTTACGTATAAAGTGGTGGAGTATTTGAATTGGCTATTGATCTCCCAGTCCTCTCAAACATCCAAACATCCAAGTGATCAATAAATGGATGCACACCAGTAGCCAAACATTTATATGATAGTGAATAATAAGAGGTTTACGTATATATGCTGTAAATACCAAACGGACGACTTGGCTCTTAGGCCTGTAGTTTATCATCAAACACAGTCTCTCTCTCTCTCACTCACTCTCTCTCTCTCTCTTTCTCTCTCTCTCTCTCTCTCTCTAACAATTTATGCGATTATTATTTTTAGCCAAAAAAGATGTTTAATGGAAATTATAGGAACCTGATTATAATTAAGCAAATTAAAGTAAAGCAGTTAAAGTAAATGTTTTTATAAAGAACATGTAGACTATATAACACTTTGTAATATATTATTTTCATGTGTTTATATTTTATTGTATAATATGCACAGAATTTGCGAAATTCTTGAACAATATTTTGAGAATATTATACAATATAAAAGTAAATAAAAATTTAACACAAAAATTTACTCAATCATTCAAGGGTATTTCATAGTGTTTTATTGCATGAATTCACAGCATGGCAAGTTTTATTCTTAGATCAGTAATACGGTACAGAATATTGTAGTAAATTACAGACATACCTGTTATAGAGTTGTATTCATAAGCCCTCGAAAAACTCAATAAATATCCAAATATAGTGCATATTCTTTGCGCTCAAATAAATCGTTTAAAAATCGATTTAAATGAATGAATCGGTGGCTAAAGCTTACGAACAAATCCCAGAATATTCTGTTATAAACCGCAAGAAAAGCTGTCATTTTATGATAGATAAAGCGGTTGGCAGTGAGGGGAACGGTAGTATAGGGAAGGCAGTCGGAAATACTACTCGCCTTAACTGTCTATTAGCATGAGATACGACTCGCTGACCATTAATCACATGCAAGGGGTCAGGGAGTGATGATTATGATGATGATGTTGAGAGCACCGGCATCATCAGCACCACCACCAATTGTAATCCATTTCCCTATTACGGTGTGTTTGCTATTCATATTAAGTTAAGTAAAATGTTTTTATATCTACTAGTAAAAAATGAAACCTACCAAAAAGAAAATTTAATGTTTTTGTTACTAGACAATTATGATGATACAAATTGTATGCTATTTTCCCCAATGGCTCAAAACAGTGTACAAAAAACATGTAATGAAATAAAAGTTGTAATCGATTTAGTTTAACAGTATAAACATTACTTTTACATTTAATAATTAATATTAATATAGTGTACTAACACAAATTGTAATAAAGCGAGTAAAATATGGTTTGCTTTTAGGCTAATAATTAATAATTGAGAAAAACATTTATGTGATACATGGATGAGAGAGAGAGAGAGAGAGAGAGAGAGAGAGAGAGAGAGAGAGATCTTTACAATTCTTTGAAAATTCAATTAAGAAATAAAAACACAGAAAATCTCGAAACGAAATAACATTAAAAACTCAATTTTAACTCAAGTATTACGCGATCCTTAAGCCTCTCTTAAACTTATTGTCTCTTTCTCTCAGAATATTCTTTATATTTCTAGTACAAGCTCTCTCTCTCTCTCTCTCTCTCTCTCTCTCTCTGACTTTCAATTGCTATTTCACTCGTAATCCTATACCCGATGTCTTTGTCTTTAAGGCTTAAAACAGTGGTATAATTGTCATTACAGTTGGTCACAGGGATTACTACTACATCAGGGACTGGTAGACTTGGGTCGGGCGCTACTTGTCATCCCGTTAGCTGTCAGCGTAATGCTGTGTCAACGGCTGTCTCGGTGTTCAATCATCGACTCAGCCTTCCTATTGCTGGTGACGGTGTCCACCGTTAATATGCTCACCTGTCTCATCAATGACGCCCCCATTTTCCCTGAACACGAACAACTGGGTCGAGTCCTGGGTGCCGAGCACATGCAGCCGGTAAATATACTTGTTTTTGTAAATTTTATCTACCTAGATTATTATTGATAATGGTAATTAGTCTTAACTAGTGACAATTGCATACCTAGTGATCTAATGTTAAACTTAAGCTATGCTTCCCAATGGCTGTAAAATATTGTTTGGTACTAAGACAATCATAAAAACAGAGTTGAAGTATGCCTTTTGATCATTGGATATACAATTATTGTTTATAATAAAGTATGATAAAGTTTAACTAATGTTATATATACAGTATGAGTGAATGTATTCAAACTGTATAGTAATTTTAAACTTTTTTTATAAGCAATAAGTATAATTAAATTTCATTACTTTTGGAAATTGTTTAACGATTTTTCAATTGTACAAGCACATAAGCTATGCGACATAGCAAACAAAATAAACAAAAGTCTTATTTTTAGCTTAAGCCATCAAATTATATTTATTTCATTATTTATCTAATTTTCATGCTATGTTCATTTCATGTGACATAGTATGCGAAATATAATAAAAACTACAATTATTTTTAATACATATAAAATAATAGCGCTAAACATTCATTTTTTGTGTGCAGCAAATAATTTTCAATTGTTTTTATTTATGACCAGGTACTGTTTCTTAGTGTGTGTTAGTTTGAAATAAAAAGTGTAATCCATTTCAATTACGGCCAAAAAGTGATGACATTTTTGGTAGCAATACATTGATTAGTGGTTTCAGTGTTTTCGGTATTTTTATTGATTAGGAGTTTTCTGTCACATAAGAAATGCCATCAAATGAATGAATGAATGAGTGAACAGCTATGATATAATTGAATTAGAAGTTTGTTATGTGAGTGAACAACACAACCATCCCTTCTCACTCCCTCTACTCCCGGTGCTCTCTCTCTCTCTCTCTCTCTCTCTCTCTCACATAATGTAATCCTCGTATGTTTTGCATCAAATTGTTGGTTAAGATGACTAAAGCTCTTTCGCAGTCTCTCTCTCCCCTTATATTTCTTTAACATTTCAATGCTCTCTCATATACTAACTAATCGATTGACTATAATAACTGCAAATACTATTTCTCTCTCTCTCTCTCTATTTTCCTATTTATTTGTTTACACAAAGAATTACTAAGAAATTCTGTGCAAGAATTGTGTTAAAAATAAAATTCTACATTTTATTTGAGACAGTTATGCAATCAATGCGAGTTTGTGTGCAACATTGTGCAACCTAGCATTGCATTGCTCATTTAGATTAGATTATATGGTTATAAGGGAATGTTAGCTACATATTTGATTTAATTATTGCAAAAACCTTTTATAATTATAAGAAACATACCAAAAAATAATCATATATTTGTATCCAGAATTTTATTTTACCATTTATGTTATACATAATTTTTAATAAATATTGCAAGTTTGTAATTTTTGAATTTATTATAGACGTTGTGATCTATTAATCACTATTACCAGGTATAGTTTATAGCTACATGTTAGTAATATTTTATGATTTGATTTATTTAGTTAGCAGATAGTAATCCATTGATTAGATCCCTATCGTAACAAATGTCTGCCCACTACTACTACTCATTAATTATTGTCTCTCTTTATTTATTTTCCATTCAATACATGTCTATAAAACACATGAATCATAGACTATATTAATACGCAATGCCTGTTAATAATAGGCAACAAAAGTCCAATAAATTATATAATATATGGGACAACAAAACTTTGTAATACTCATTGAAGTCAATGTAAACAAATCTGTTATAAAGATTTTGCTAGTTGCATTGATGACATTAGATTAACTAGCTTTAAATTAATTATTTATTAGCTAGTATATGTACTAGCTATAAGAATTCATAATACATAAATTTAAATAGTTTAAGATTCTTGATTAATACAAATATTTGAATTTTTATAAAACTTGCATTGTTTGTAATAAAAACCGCAATAAAGTTAAATATTCTTGAAATAAATAAATTGTGAGACCAGATAAAAATACTAATACATAAATATACTAGGGCATACTCTTAAAAATAATATTCTATAGCTATTCATATAAATGCTATTCTCTTATCGCAAATATATTGTGTGCAGTCTTTTCGGTCGATTATATAATAACAATAAATCACTCGATATATGAATTTCTTAACTGTACTTTCGATATACATATCAATTCAAGTGAACCGAGACTGTTGTCAATGCAAACCAAATACGAGTTAAGTATGTATTCAATGAAATACATACGAAATGGTCGATACCGAGAAAGTCTATTATATTTTCATAAATTGAAACAAAACCACAAATTTAAAAATAAATTACTTTTTTGTAAACTTTTATTTAATATTTCTATTTGTTTATAAACAAAATGGTTTAATATTACACATTTAAATTAAAACTTAAATTTATTTATTTATAAGTCACATAAAGCTACAGAATATTTTAATATCAACATTTTATTTATTATTAACACTGATAAAAAATAATTATTTTAATTATTGATTTTTACTAAATGATATAATGAAGGGATATTAACAAAAAAAATAGTTTCAATAAAATCTTAGCACTTATGTCTTAATATGTGTTGAGTTATCAAATAAGCGTATGAATTGTGATCACATTTGCAACTGACATGACATTTACTACACTATACAACACATAATCAATACAATTATAACACAAACACAAGCCTACCATCAAATGGTTTTCCTTAAACAGACACTAATTCTGTTATTTTTTAAGCGGAGAATATTCTTACATTATTTATCTAATTTTCATGCTATGTTCATTTCATGTGACATAGTATGCGAAATATAATAAAAACTACAATTATTTTTAATACATATAAAATAATAGCGCTAAACATTCATTTTTT